GTGGGGGCTCTGCAGGGGGACAGTCTGTGTGTGGGGGGGCTCTCCAGGGGGACAGTCTCTGGGGGGGACCCTGCAGGGGGATGGCCTGTTGGGGGGGACCCTGAAGGGGGACGGCATGTGGGGGGGGACCCTGTAGGGGGTTGGCCTGTGGGGGGGACTCTGCAGGAGGACGGCATGTGGAGGGGGCTCTGCAGGGGGTTGGCCTGTGGGGGGGTCCCTGCAGGGGGACGGCCTATGGGGGTGCCTGCAGGGGGTTGGCCTGTGGGGGGGGCCTTGCAGGGGGACAGCATATGTGGGGGGGCCCTGCAGGGGGACGGCGTGTGTGTGGGGGTCCCTGCAGGGAAGCCATCAGGATGCAGCCCCTCCCTATAGTGTTGTCGGCTGCTCAGGGTGGGTGCCTGCATCCCGCTTACCTCCTGAGGCTGGCCCTGCGCAGGTGCCCGGCAGTCAGCCCAGCCCCCTCATGGCGTCCCTGCCCTCCCGCGTCCGTGCCCGCAGCCCTCAGCCCTGCCAGAGGCCAGCGGCAGCACGTGGGGCCTCGGGGCACCCTCACACCCCTTGTCCCTTCCCAACAGGACTCGCTTACTTTGTTGAGCACGGAGTGTTTTTAGTCCAAAGGATCGTCATGAGGGGCTCTCTCCAGTAAGGAGAACACGGGCCTTCGGATGTGCAGACACCCCCAGAGCAGGGGTGTGGGGGTCCCCTTGTGTCTGGTGGAGGCTGGTGGGGGGGGGGTCTGGGTCAGCAGGTGTCCAGGCCTGGGTGGGAGACAAACTGGGCTCAGTTCCCAGGCCTTTCGTCCTGACAGGCCGGGGGCGTGAGCATTCTGCACAGGGTGGGTCTGGCCTGGTCGCAGGTGAACAAGGGGATGTCCTTGAGTCTGTCCCATGTGGGGAATGGGTCTAAGTCACACGGGGAGGGGTTCTCTGCAGAGGGCATTTTCCAGAGCGCAGAAGGGGTGGGGAGGGGGCAGTTCTCAGCGTCACTGTTGCCCGGGGCCCAGCCTGAGCAGGTGTTCAGGACTGATAACGTTCTGTTTACGCGTCACTGAGTGCGTCACTTTGAGCATCATGTGTCACGGGTCTGGGGGGTGAAGCAGAGCCTCAGGACGGTCTGCTGGGGACAAGGGCCGGCCTTGCTCCTGCAGTGTTAACTGAGCTGTGCGCTCAGGCGGGGGGCAGAGGTCTGAGTGCTGGGCATTTTGAAAAAAGGGTGTGTGTGACAGGTGACCTTGACGACCAAGGGGCCAGTGAGTGGGAACCTCCCAGGCATGCAGCCCTGAGGTGCCGGCGCCCTCGACACGTGGTGCAGCGCGGGTCACCTACATAAGGCCACCTCCTCCATGCTGCCGCACTGGGCACCGAGGGCTCCAGAACTTCCGCTCGTGCCAGCAGACATGCCGCCTCTGCGGGTTGCCTGTCCGCCGGGCCAGCCGGGAGCGGGCAGCAGGCCCAGGTGGCTCTGTCTGCCACTCGGTCAGAGCCCCACCTGTGGGCCCGGCCGTGGCTGGGGGCGAGGGCAGGGACCCGGGTGGGCACCCCCACCTGAGATGCCGGGCCAGGAGGGCTCCTTGTGGCAGGAGCCCGCGGCCTGGGAGGAGTGGGGTGTGGCAGGGAAGGTGGGTAAGGCCCGCCGGCAGCCACGGCACGAGTGTGTTTGCAGCACGTAGGAAGACAGCCTTGGCCGCCACATCTTCAAGGCAGGTCTCCCCCGACGTCCAGGATGTGGGCCGCACTGGGGACTCTGCTCCATCCGGGCCTGTCCCAGGTTACTGGGGTCGGCGCTGTGCTAGCAACAGTACTGCGGCCACCGCTACCCCGCCAGACCCCGCGGGGGCCCCGGGCTCCGTTCCCTGCTCCACAGCGTCCCTCTTCGCCCTCTCCTTTGCCAAGGCCGTGTCCCTGTGGGCCAGGCAGGGCTGGGGTGGCCCTCAGTGGCCCCTGCCGGTGGGAAGAGACCCCATACGTGCACAGTGATCCCAGCTGTGCAGGCGGCCGCACCAGGTGACCTCCCTGTGTCACTGCCACGGTGCCGTCTAGGTGGGTGCTAACCTGCGTCAGGTGTTGCTGCTCCAGCATTTATCAGCCACACGCCCTCCGGAGAGTCCCCCCACCTGCTGGCGACTTGGTTTCCCTGTCTGACCTGTCTGCAGAGTGGGAGTACCGGAAGGCGTGCTCACACCCAATAAGGGAGACCAAGTTAGCTTAGAGAGGCCCCCAAGAGTCCAAGTCCAAGTACATCCAGGGCCAGGCTCATGTGAGAGAGGCCTCAGTGGCAAGGTCAGGGTTGGGTGTGGCTAGTCTGTGCCCAGCCTCTGACAGGGTTGGGGTGGGAACCGGGGAATCTGAGCGGCAGGCAGTCAGACTGAGGTCCCACTGGGCCTACAGCCTTTATCTTGTGACCTTGACATCTCCACGTTAGGATGGAGCCTAGGTTGCCCCAACCCCCAGCCAGTAGCCTCTCTCAGGGAAGGCTGTGGTGACCAAGACCCCAGAAATGGGCCCAGGCCCATTCACCCAGGCCACCCAGCACCCACCCACCTGCTGCAGTTCCCAGTGCCAAGACCCACAGACTCCACACTGGCTGCCACCCTCCTGGCCACAGGCCGCGTTCCCGCAGGGTGGCCGTCTGCCCGCACTGTGGTGAGACCTGTACCTGAGTTGTAGCTGAGAGCACATGTGGCTTTGAGATCATGCTAATTGCTTCACTTCCCAGAACACTCCTAAAAAGAAAGTGAATTTCCCTGTAATATTTTGCAGTGGGTGAAATGATCCCTGTGGAAATCGATCTAGATTCCGGAATGAGCAGTAGAGTGGGTGGGCCTGGGGCAGGGTTCTCACCCCCGCCCCCCCTCACTGGCCTGGAGGAGCCTTCCCTGCCTGGGGTTCAACCCTGACCTCACGCCAGGCACCCAAGGAGGAAGCTTTGGTTTTGCTCATGTGATAGGTGAGGAAGCCTGGCTCCGAGGTGAACGGTCTTGCCTGGGGCACCTGGCTGCCTGGTGGAGGAGTTGTTCCCTTCAGGACGGCATTCAGAAAAAGCGTGGCCTTGGAGCCAGTGGGCATGGGTGGCAGTCCCAGGCCCCACCTCTCTGAGAGACCCTGGAGGCCATGGACCCTCTTGAGTGCCCACAGCGTTTACTGTCAGATGAGTGTTGTGACCTGGTCTCGGGGTGCTGCCAGGTATGACAGTGATGATGTGTGACATGCCTCCAGCATGTGGCTCGTGAGTGGTGTGGCCGTGTCCTTCACAAGCATCATTGTTTCTTTCCTGGCAAATGGAGCTAAGACAGTTGGGGAGCATGGAGGATGCAAGGCATGGCTGAGTGGGGTACCCCACATCCTCCTCGTCCAGATTTCTACTCCTCATCTTGTTCACTAGCTTCATGAAGTCACTCAGTCTTTCCGCAGCAGTCGGACTGCCGTCCATCTGCCACCCATCTATCCATCCATCCACCACCCACCCATCCATCCACCACCCACCCATCCATCCATCCACCCATCCACCCATCCATCCATCCATCCATCCATCCATCCATCCATCTACCATCCATCCACCATCCCACCCACCATCTGTTCATTTGCCCATCCACTGTCCATCCACCTACCCACTCATCCACTGTCTATCCATGCATCCATCTATCTACCATCTGTTTGTCTATCTACCATCTGTTTGTCTATCTATCCATTACTCATCTGCCATCTCCTCATCCGTCTATGTATCCATCTAACCATCCATCCATCCATCCTGCTGCTTCAGGACTTATTGAGTAGCACCTGCGTGCTGGCTTGTGCCGGGTGGCGGCTGTGCAGAGGGAAAGGGACCATCCTTCTGTCAGGGAGCCCAAAGCAGGTCTGGGCAACAAGGCGTCTACAGCACTGATGGGCCTATAGGAGGTGCAGACTGTGCTCGACTACAGCCCTCCAAGAGCCAGCCGGGGTCCTCTGTCCCCGTGAGGGGCTTACAGCCCTGGGACTCTCAGAGACCGTGGGGTTTGGCCTTGGAGTCAGGAAACAGTATTGAGATCCCAGCCCTGTCTCTGACTTGGTACGGGGAGGGGGACCTTGGGCTTTCTTGGCTTTCACTCAGCGCCCTGATGTCCATGCGCTTGCTCACTGCACCTAACACCTGCCTTCTTGTTTCCACAGAGTGACTTGTTGGATGTAAATCAGATCATCAAAGATTTGGCTTCCATGGTGTCAGAGCAAGGAGATGCCATTGGTAGGTATCTGGGCCACCTGCCATATAGCCATTGCCCTCTCCCCTAGGTGTGGGCGGGGCTGCCTCCTGGGTGAATGGGACCCAGAGCAGTTCCAGGGGTCTGAGTATCTGCCGCCCTCCCTCCCTGTGTCCCCAGGCCTCCCCAGCCCCTCAGGAAGGCTGGGGTTGGGGATCCTCATGCAAGAGGGCAGCCCACCCATTCTGCTCATTGAAGAGCCCGGGCTTCCATGCTTCCCGCCCTGGGCCTTCCTCGCACCCCAGGACTCCCCAGGGCGAGGACCAACTGTCCTGGGTGTGGGAGGGGTCGAGGCTGTGGCAGGTGCCCCAGCAGAGAGTCCATTGGAGCCCAGGATCACCCTAGAGGGGCCGCTTCTTGGGAAATGGGCATGGTGGGGGCAGGGCTGTGCCAAGGGCAGGCTGGCATCCCTTCTGGTTCTGTTCCTTCCACATGAGGACCTCGGTCCCCCTCGGCCTGCTACTGCTTGTGTGCCTGGGCCCCCTAGTGCGCGGGGGAGGGACCGTGGCTCTCTGGCCCAGAGGCGTGGGGTACCCGGAGCCGCTGGCCAGCACAGTCAGCCCCCAGGCAGCCTCTGCACCCCCGTTCCAAGGTTCTGGGTCCAGTCCCCATGGCTGTGGCTGTGCTGCACCCCCAGGGTAGGGTGGGGCCGCCACCCAGCAGGCTTGCCCTTCCCTCCTTCCTGGAGGCTGGGCTGCAGGAAGGCTTTGCTCCAGCAGGCCCTCGAGGCACGCTCTCCACAGGCGCCTGCCTGGGGGCCCCTCCTCCTCACCCCTCCCGCCTGTCCACATCAGCACTGCCACCGCCTCTGTCTCTACCTCTGGCTCGCTGTCCTGGGTGCGCAGGGTGTGTCCACTGCAGACGGACACCCACACGTAACCCAGATGGTCACTTGGTCCCAGTGACGGGCTGATCAGGAGGGCCGTCTTCAGGTGGGGAAGGGGAGATGGATGGGCAAGAGCAGACCGGTGGCGACCGGGGCCAGGGCCTGGGGACCAGGGTAGCTGGGACTTCGGCATCCCACCGTGTGCCGGTGGAGGCGAGCCCACCGTGGTGGATGGTGGCCAGGGGCCCGCATGCACTTCTGTGGGGACAGTGGACGCCTGGGGCCGCGAGCCTGGGGGCACTCTGCTGCCCGGCCTGTCTGCCCCCTCAGCCTCGGGTGCCTTTCCAGGGTCCAGCAGCGGCAGGGCCGAGTGCCGGCAGAGCTGCAGCCCAGAGCCAGCTGTGGTGGCCCCCCGGTCAGGGCAGGGGCGTGCACCCCTGCGGCAAGGCCCTCACTCCCGCACCAAGACGCGGAAGCCCAACTTCAGCCCCCAGGAGACGGAGGTGCTGGTGCAGAGGGTGGCCCGCCACTACCCGCTGCTGTTCGGGGCGCTGCGGGCCACGCCATCCCGGAAGCACCGTGTGTGGAGCAAGATCCTGCAGGCAGTCAACGCCCTGGGCTACTGCCGGAGGGACCTGGGCGACCTCAAGCACAAGTGGCGGGACCTGCGTGGGGCCGTGCGCAAGAAGCTGACGGAGCACCCGCCGGCCCCCGGCCTCGTCCTCACCCCTGTCGAGCGCATGGTGGCCGAGACCTTCTCGGCCCCGGCCCCGCTAGGCGAGGGCCAGGCCACTGAGCCCCTGCCAAGTAAGTGTCCACCCCCCCACTGGGCCTCCCCGCCGTGACGCGCCAGGGAGGGCTGCGGGCCTGTGGGGACGACCGCCTCCCACGCGGAGCCTCTCTGCTTCCAGATGGGAAACTGAGCCTGGGTTCAGGGAGGGGCCGGCCCACCTGTGGAGCAAAGGAGCTGGGGCTGGAAGGCAGCTCATCCTGGCCCCAAGCCGGGACCCTTCTGGGGGTGTCCCCACCACGACAGCATAGCCAGGTGCCTCTGGAGGCGCAGGGGACAGAAGATGAGGGGCCACGCTCCACTTGCTGTCCCCTGGAGTGGAGCTGGGGAGACTGCCCCTGACCTCTGACCCCTTCCTGTGCGCTCATTGTGGGGACCCTTCTCCCTGGGGTCCCTCAGCCCCCAGAGCAGTCCAGGGTACACTGACCCCCTCTCTGAGCCCATGCGCCCGCCTAGAGAGCCACCCTTTGCTGGAAGTTTCTGTGCCTGATGAGGAAAGCACGGGGCGCCCAGCAGGGCCTTCCTGCCGCTCGCAGATGCCTCTGGCTCCAGAGCGCTGCCGGCCTGGACCCCCGTGCCGCCTCCGCTGTGCTCCCTCCTGCCGCTCCTCCTCCTCAAGACGCCTCACGTCCTGGTCAGTCTGCAAAAGGGGCTGCACCCCTCCTCACGGCCGAGATGGACCCTTTGCTTCCCGGGCGGCTGCTGCACGCACGTCGGGGATGAAGCCTGGGGCGGGACCAGCTCCTGCTTGAAGGCCCCGGAGTGGACAGTCAGGGCCACAGACGCCTGGTGACCGATCGGAGCTTCTGGGGACCCGTTGGGAGCTGCATGTGGACGTGCGGATGTGCCTGGGGGCCTTGGTCACGGCTGGGCCTGGGGCGGGGGGCACCCTACCTTCCTTACAGGCAGGGCCAGACCTGGTGTGGGGTGCAGGGTGTGCACACTGGAGGGGGTGCTGGCAGTGGGTGGCATTGTGCCCGGACCCACCCCCTGAGGCCCCAGCCCTGGAGCAGGGCAGGAACTCGGTGGCTCTGTTGCTCCTGAAGGTCCCCTGTGCCGGCTCAGAGAACGGGCTCATGGTGGGGCCCAGTCCAGCCCAGAAGACCCCGCCTGCCCTGCTGGCCCAGCTGCCCCTGTGGGGACAGCCACTGTCTGCTTTCTTAGTATGGTGGGCTCCTCCTGTGAGTGTCCCTCCTGGGACAGTGCTGATTGTCACCCAACGGGTGTGCGTGGGGGTGGCTACCAAGCCTGACGGCAGCGGGGGGTCGGGGCAGGCGGAGACTGCCACCAAAGGCCCCCTCCGTCTGGGTCAGCACTGGCCCCAGGGCTGGGATGGGCAGACCTGCAGGGGCCCATCCAGGCGCAGGGGTGAGGGTAGCCAGCTGACAGGCTGTGGGGCCTCCACAAGGTGCCTGTGGCCCGAGGTGCTGTAGGGAGCTCTCTGGCTGCACCTTGAGGTGCTTGCCCTGCTGTCTGTGAGTGTTTGGGGGAGCGGTGCTGACGGGGGCTCGGGCTGGGCCCTGGAGGCCCTGGAGCTCTCCAGAGCAGAGGCCCCGCAGGGCAGTTCCCTCGGGCAACTGGGGGCCTGGGGGAAGTGGAGGCCTCCTGCATGTCTGCCCTCCACTGGCCGGGGATCTTCAGGGTGAGGCAGAGACCGTGCATCGGGACCAGTGGGGTGCCGCCTGGCCGCCCCTGGGTCTCAGGACGGGGGAGCTGGCCGTGAGTGAGTGGCCAGAGGCAGAGCTGGGGTCTGGGAGGGCTTTGCTGGCTGAGTGCTGAGTGCACTTATTCCTGGTGTGAGCCGGGCTTCGCCTGTGGGGACCGCTCGCATCCCCGGTCAGTGTTACCGGCAGAGCTGGCTCACGGCGTCCCCAGGGCCTGTGCTCGGTGCAGACCGGCCCGGGGAGTGTCGGAGCCTGAGCGCAGGGTCCTGGGGCAGCACTGTGGTGGCCGGGCACGGGAAAGACCAGCTAAGGCGTAGCCTCCAGCGCCCGCACGGCCGTGACCCTGCTGTCCTGCGCGTGGTGGCCGCTGTTCTCGCCCCGTGTACCTGCCTCTTTCCTCAACAGGAGCGAGGTGGGGCCGCTGCCCACGGCCTGGGGGTGCAAGGTGGCTTGCTGACACAGGAGCCGGGCAGGGGCCTGAATGGACGCCGGGGGCCGGTGCTGCATTTGCGGGAGGAGCAGGGCTGACCCGGCGCAAGGAGGGATCAAGCTCTCCTTCTGGGGGGGCCCCGCATGGAGGGGCTGCACTTAAGCAGAGGGGCGGGAACCCCAGGGAAGACCTCTCCCCCCGAGCAATCCCCTGGGCAGAGGGCGCTGTGCCCGGCGGCCCTTTGCATTCACCTGGACCTTCTCTGCCCCTCCCCCCACCGCCTTGGGCCTCCCTCGTATCCCGGCTCAGGTGGCGCCCAGGGTACCCCAGGGGAGATGTACGATTTGAATTTACCTATTTCTGCCTCTGAAGTCCTAACCAAAGTCCGTGAGTTTGAAAGCCTGTGTCCTGCTCCTCGGAGAGGGAAGTCTGGGTGTTGGTAGCAGCGGTGAGGGCCGCCGGTCTGTGGGGAGAGCGCCTCCTGCCAGGCCACATGCTCGCTCTGCCTCCACTACCAGGATCCCTGGTGGTAGAGGAGGAACCGTGTCCTTCACCCTGAATCAAACCCAGTTCCCCCGGGGGTGAATGTCACGCCTCAACTCACCAGTCGCCCGGGCCGCCTGGCCGCGTGTTCCCAGTGCCTCTGGTTATGAATTCGGCACATGTTTCCGTGATGCTGCCTTTTCCCTGCCAGCATTGCTGAGTGGAATTTTCTGGTCTCCTGGGGCTGCTCCGGGCCTCGGGAGGGTGGCTTAGGTGTGCTGCTGGTGCGCCCTGTCGGGGCCGTGTCGACACCCCCCACCCCACCCGTGTCCAAGGCCCCACGCTGAAGTGCCCGGAGGCCGGGGGCCCGCGTGAGCCTCTGCCCAGCCCCCTGCATCTGTGTTAGTGGACCCGGACCCCGCAGTTCTCAGAAAGCTCTGGCCCCTTCTTAGAGGCAGGGTCTGTGGTCAGTGTTGAAGGACTGCCCGCGGGCGCAGAGAAGTAGCGGGGCCAGGCCTCTTTCCAGGCCGCCTCCGCCTTTCCTGCTTGGGCTGACCCTGCCCCCAGGGCACCTTCGGGTGGCGCCCTGCAGCCTCTGCTTCTCTGGAGGCTGGACTCCTCGCCTGGCCTCTGGTGAAGCCAGCACGGGGCCCCGGTGACCACAGGGGGCAGGCCCCCTCCCAGCCCCTGGGCCTGGGCTCCCCGGGCTCCCCCTCAGCGTGCCCTCAGGGTCTCCACTCTGTAATTGCTTCTGTTGTCTTGATTTGCAGATAGTATTGAAGCCAGCCTTGAGGCTGCGTCCTCGCACACAGAGGCGGCCAGCGAGCTCCCGGCTGGAGCCAGCCGGCACCAAGTAAGTCAGCTCGAGGGGACGGCCCTGCTGGCTCGTGGCCCCCTCGGTCCCCTGTCTCCCTGGGAAGCCCAGGCCCAGCCCTGTTCGTGGGAGGGGCACGCCCACGGGGTCTTCTCTGCGTCAAGGCGGACTGGTGTCCGGGAGGGGAGAGGCAGGACGGCGGGGTCTGCACCCAGGGCGCCGCGCACCACCGCCTGCTGTCTGCACCCCTGCCCCAGGGCACAGCGCACCACTACCCACTGTCTGCACCCCTGCAAAGGCAGGTGGCCAGGGCCTTTGCCCAGCTGGCCCTGTGGAAGCTGGAGGGCAGGGGATTGGTCGAGAGTGTGAGCAGGGCCTGCCCAGGAGGTTCACTGCTGTGGGCACTTCCCAGGAGCACGCTGGCCAAGGTGCCCGACGGAAAGCTCTGTGGACTCTTTCCCATAAGGGCAAGGTGTGTCTGGCAGTGTCTGCCACCTTCCTAGAGGGCACCGGCCGTGGAGAGGGCTCCTCTGACCCTCCCGCTCCGGCACCTGCAGTCTAGGTGCCTGTATGTCTGCTCTGCCTTTGGCCTGAGCTGGAGGCTGGGAGGGAGCCTCCCTTCTTGGGGCCATCGGAACTTGGCTTGGGACTGGCTGGCTAGCTCAGAGGGAGTGAGAGCAAAGATCAGGCCTTTCTTTGCTGGAGATGGGGCTTGGACAGCCTCGGGGACCGGCCACTGGGCCTGCACGCTGACACGCGGCCACCCCGTGAGCACCTGATCAGGCCAGGCGGGCGTGGGCCTCCGTCTGGCTGGGGGTAGGGGAGGGCTGGGGAGCCGCCCTCCACTCGTCGCTCAGTCGCTCAGCCGTCTGTCTCGGGCATCCTGAGGGAGGGGCGGGGAGGGGTGGATGGTCCAGTCTGGTGAGAGGAGGACCCTGGGCTGCAGGGGCTCGAGCTCCAACCTGAAGGCCAAGTAGGATTGTCTTGGTAGAAATGACACTGTGCTCAGAGGCCAAAGGAGGAGCTGCCCACAAGCTCGGGACGCCACACACAGGCTGGAGCACAACCCCTGTGCGGGGCCATGGCGGGCAGGGGTGGAGCCGAGGGCTCCTGGGAGAGGCGGCCAGATGATACTCTCGTTCCCTGGGGTCTCAGGGAAGTCTCCGTCAACGGCCGTCAGACTTGAAGTCAGGGCGCCTAAGAGTTGGCCGCGCGTGAGAGCTGGTGACTGCAGCGCCAGGAGAAGAAACGGGCTGTGCCAAGGGCTCGTCTGCAAGGCAGGAGCAGAGGCGAGTCGGCCCCGAGTCGGTGCTCACTGCCCGGCCCACCGCCCCTGCCAGTTTGGACACTGAGGACAGCCAGGCCCTCGACTGGGACCTCTCCACCCGGCTGGGTCCTCAGGACCTCCCGGAGTAGAAGGTCCAGGCTGCAAATGAAGCAAAACAGACTTGGCCAGGAGCTCGGGACCTCGTGGTGGGAATGACTCCAAGCAGCAGCTCCTGCCGAGGCTTCCTGGGGCGACAGCAAGCCAGCCCACCGGCTTCCCCCCTGAACGCCCTGCACCATCTGATCAGAAGGACCTGCCGAAGCCAGGACCACGGAAGGAAGGTGTGACGAGAGGAGGAGGAGCTGCAGGAGGAGGTGGAGGTGGCCTGGTGGCTGCCTGTGTCTGTGGACCCTCATCAGGCTCAGACTCCCTACCCCTGCCCATGTTGCTCACCGGACCCTTTCCTCTGGGGTGATGCTGCCACCACCCCATTGCCATGGCCACGCAGGAGCCCCTGGGCTCTAGGGGAGGTGAGTGGGGCTCGGACTGAGGAGATGCAGCCCAAGGCTGCTGCCACGTAGGAATGTCTGTCCACTCACCTCCACTGGACAGATGGATGGGAGCGTCCACCAAGACAGGGCATGGCACAGCCCCATGTTTCAGGTCCAGGGTTTCCCAGGGGCGCTGGCCAGTGTAACATCCACATCCAGACGAGGGAGGATTAGTCATCCCCACAGCCAGGCCCTTCACATGCAGATTGAGGATTAAAGGTCCAGAGAAAAGTGTTTCCCAAAGCCACATAGGTATCAGGAGGAAAAGCTGGTTTTGGAGCCCAGGCTGTAGGATCTCGTGTCCAGGGCTTCCGTGCTGTGCTGGGGAAGCCTTGCTTCAAGTCCACCCTCCCACCCTCCTGGGACAGCCACTTGCTGGAGGAGTGCACCCACAGGTTGGGTGGGTGCCTGGATGGATGGGTGGATGATGGAGGGTGGATGGATGGATAGGGGAATAGCCATAGGTAAATGGATAAGTGGATGGATGGATGGATGGATGGATGGATGGATGGATGGATGGAGGCATGGGTAAATGGATGGGTGGATGGAAGATAGATTGGTGATGGGTGGATAAACAGAGGCATAGATTGATGGATGGACAGAGGGATAGGTAAGTGAATGCGTGGGTGGAGGATGAATATGGATGGATGGACAGAGGCGTGGATGGATAGATGGGTAGAAGGAGGATGGATGGATGATGGATGGATGGGTGCACAGAGCTGTGGGTAGATGGATGAGTGAATGGATGATGGATGGGTGAATGAAGGAAGATTGATGGATGGATGGTTGGACAGAGGTGAGGGTAAATGGATAGGTGGATGGAGGATGAATGATGATGGGTAGACGGAGGGGTGGGTAAATTGATGGGTCAATAGAAGATGGAGGGATGGATGATGGATGAACGTGTAGACAGGCATGGGTAGATGGATGAGTAGCTGGAGGATGGATGGATGGGTGGTGGATGGATGGGTAAACAGAGGTGTGGGGAAATGGGTGGGTGGATGGAAGGTGAACGGAAGGATGGATGGACGGAGACATGGGTAAATGGATGGCTAGCTGGTTAGGTGGACAGGGGCATGCACAGATGGATGGGGGATGGGGGATGGATGGTTGGATGGAGTGGAAAAGCATGGGTAGATGGATGAGTGGATGGATGCATGAACGCATGGACAGAGGTGTGGGTAAATGGATGGGTGGATGGATGGATGGTTAGATGGATGGATGAGTGGACAGGCATGGGTAGGTGGATGAGTAGAAGGGTGGGTGGATGGGTGAACAGAGGTGTGGGTAAATGGATGGATGGATGGACGATGGATGGATGAGTATAAGGAAAGAAGATGAAGGAAGGAGATGGACGATGGATAAAAAAATTGATGGGCAGATAGATCGGTGGGTGGTAAGCGTAGATGAACAGCTGGACGACTAGATGGTAGAGGGCAGCCAGCTGGGTGGAGTGTAGACAAATGGCAGCATGGGGGCTGAGCACCGAGGCTTTGCCAGGCTGAGGTTTGGACTTAAGTGTTACTAGAGGAAGTCTCGTCCTCTGAGTCCCAGTTTCCTCATATGGGTGCTGCTGCCTCCCACAGAGGGGCATCGGGAGACCAAAGGGGCTCCATGTGCAGAGCACCCCCCACCTGTCACCTCCCCGTCCCTCTGAGGTATTGCCCCAGTCATAGCTGTTGGAGGCTGACATTTCCTGTCTCCCCCCACCAGCGGACGAGGAAGATGAGGCCCCCAGCTGCCTGTGGCTACACTTGCGGACACTGGATGGGCCAAGCCTGCCCGAACCTGACCCCCTGGACCTACGAGGAGCTGTCCCTGCACCTGCCTCCTCACCCTCCCCACCGACCTCCCCGGCCTCCCTAGCCGCGGCGCCCCCTGCAGCTGCAATCCCAGGGGCCCTTGGACCCTCCCCACCCTCCCCACCCTCCACCGCGCCACCCCCACCCCCTGGGCGGCCCGCAGCAGAGGTGTCCGAGTTTGAGCAGCGGCTGCTGGACTCCCATCGGCGACAGGGCGCCCTGCTGTCCCACTGGTTGCAGCAGCAGAGCGTGCTGATGGCCCAGCAGAACCTGCTGCTGCAGCGCCTGGCCGAGCAGAGCCAGCGGCTGGCCGACGGCGTCGAGGCCCTCAACCGGACCCTCGGGAAACTGGTGGAGGCCTGCGCCGCCCGGGGAGCCTCACCCACAGTCCTGGATGGCACCCCTGCTGGCGGGGTGGCCTCTGGGCCCAGCAAAGGCACCCAGGGCAGCCCGCAGGGCTCCCACCCGGGCCTGGAGGACTTCTCAGGGATGATCCTGAAGGTGGAGGAGGAGGTCTAGGGTCTGGCCCACAGAGAGCTGCACGCAGAGCAGGGACCCCAGCCCTCCTGAGAGGCAGGCCGGGGGACAGCAGGGCAGAGTTGGGGCTTCGGTGGAGCCAGCGAGGACACAGGACACACTCGCGCAGGGAGAGGCTCCGGAGCCAGTCGGCGGGTCCTGGACAGGAGTTTACTCAGGGACCTTGTGGCTGGAAGGGGCCAAGGGGCGCTGGCAGAGCCCGGCCTCACTCCCAGCCCGCGCTCTCACCGGCTTGCCGAGCGCCTTGGAGGACGGAGCCAGCACCCCCTGCCGCCACAGGGGCTATAGCGGGCCCAGTGTCCCAGGCCTGGAGGGCTGGTTCAGCGGGGTGTCAGGCAGGCCCCCAGGGTGTGACCTGGAGGGCCCGCCGGAAGCCCCTCCCCCTGGATGCGTGGACTCGGTGGGCTGGGCTCCTGCGCTTTTCTTGGTTCTGCCCAAGGCACCCACGTCTTGCAGCCGGCAGTCACCTCCGCCCAGCGTTAGACCAGGTCTGTGGACACTTCTGGGCATATGTGCCACCTAGTACTGTACGGGGCGGGATCCCATTTTGTACCTACTGATTTTTCTTGCAAAAAGAATTATTTTTCCTACATAAGCATAAAATAACAACGAGAAAGGCTATCCAGTAACGATGCTTGCAAACCAACAAGATGGAGCCCAGTCCTGTTCTCTGAGATGGGCTGTGCCCATGTGTTCAGCCCCATAGGGAGCCCTGAGCGCTTGCTGGGTTTTCAGATCTGCCCCTGGGGGGGGGTCCCTCGGGGAGCTGGTGCCAATCTCTGGCCCTCTCAGACCGGGCTCGGGCTGCAGCCACACAGCAGGGAGGCTGTTGGGGGCTAGGAGGGGAGGGCAGGGGTCCCCTGACCCCAGGGCCTCACTGGTCCTGGGCCTCGAGTCCTCTGCCCGCCTCCCCTTTACTCCATCTGACCCTTGTGGATAAAAGCCTTCAAGCAGAAGCCTGCAGTGCTGGCACGGGCTGGACAGTGGGCTGGTTCCAGGGGACGCCCCGGCACGGAGGAGGGCCGCGGCCCGTGTCACTGGCACGTCGGGCCGGACGCTCTTCTGGTTTTCCATTTTCACCGTGAGCCGGCAGCGTGTCGGTGACTTTGTCTGCAGAACGACGAAGCTCTTTATTGATCTGTCCAGCGGCTCCCTGTGGCCCGGCCTGGCCGCCCTCGCCGCCGCCCCTCCCTCTGGGCGCAGGTGGTGCCCTTGGCCCTCTGCAGCCTTGCTCAGATGCCTGCCCTGGGCCGCCCTCCGTCTGCTCTGCAAACCGCATCAGTCTCCATATGGCCTCTGAGCCTCCGTGAATCCTCCCTGTGGGTGGAAGGGACGGGCCGCCCTTGGCCAGTGACACATGCCTGTTTGACATTCACCTCCCTGCTGTCCCTGAGCCCTGCTGCCCCATGCCCCTTGCTCGAGCTACCTCCAGTCTAGACTGAGGCCTGAGCCTGGTCACACTCTGGGCCCCCACCCTGGTCACGCTCTGGGCCCTGACCCTGGTCACCCTGAACCCTGACCCCAATCATTTCCATAACATCTATTAGAGCCCCCTTGGGGCTTGGCCCTGTACTAAGTGCCAGAGACGTGCAAGGGACCAGGGCCGACCAGAGGCCTCTCCTGGAGCTCACGCTCTGCTGCAGGAAACAGCACTAAGCAGGTACATACATATCGGGGTAAATGTTTTCTGTGTACAAGTTAAAGCTAGATCTGGTTGTATTTGGCAGAAGACCCCAAGTGGCATGTTTTAGAGAGAACTGGCGTTATGAGTTTTAAGAGAGGCCTGTGGTTGGTGATCCAGCACAGCAGGGTGGCTCTGGGGTCCTCAGGGACCCAGTGGCCTGCAGCTCCCTGCTCCATGGCGGTGCTCGCGGTGCAGGGTGACTGCAGGCCTCCCACCATTGCGTCACGCTCCACGTAGCAGGAGGAAGGGAAGGGAGAGGATGGCACAGCCGCTCCGTCCCGCGGGCTGGCAGCGAATCAGGTGCTCATACTGAGTTGCACTGGAGGCTGGGAAGTATCTTTATGGCTTTAGCCCAAAGCGGAGGTTCTGTTACTGAAGGCAGGGAGACGAACAGGCGACTGGCAGCCCCACGGGGGGCGGAGGACCTGGCGGCCCTGAAGACGGGGTGGGCATGCTGTTGAAGGCACGTGGGCAGACATCAGGCCGGGGAGCGGGGGAAGGGGGGTCCGGCAGGGAATCCGGGGTGAGGTTGGGGAGGAGCGACCCCACCCTGCTGGGGCCCGAGAGGTGGTGCACTCAGGTCCTGAGCCCCCCCACCCACCGTGCGCCCTCTGGCCTCTGCGCTGGAGCCTGTGCTGCGGACACGGAGGGGAAGGGCCGGGGAGGCGCGAGGAGGCGGGGCAACGACGTGGGGAGAGCAGGGGCCCTGGCCGCCCGGAGTGCGGGTCCTGCATGCTGTCCCCGCACCCGGGGCCCTGGGGGAGCCTGAGGAGCCTCGAGGAGGGAAGCCATGGCCGGTTGGCGTCAGCGCCCGGGAAGGGAAGTCTGGGAGAGCCTGCAAAGGAGTCGGGGAGACGCCAGCCTCCCAGATGGGACTGTGGCCGGGGTCAGCCCCGGAGCTTCACTGCTGGGATGCTCCCCCCAGGCGGTGTGCATCCTGAACCCCAGCGAGCGGATGGGTGGTGAGGCTGGCTTGGCGTCCCGGACCAGGGTCCTGTGGGCCCAGCGGGGGCGGAGGGGTGCTCTGGAGCAAGTGGGTGAACAGCCTCTCCCGGCACCGGGGCGCTGGGGCCAGGGGGGCTGAGGAAGGAAGGGCGGGGCTCTGAGGGCCCTGCACGGGAGGATGGACGCAGGGCAGCCGAGAGAAGGAAGAGCAGTCCTGGGAGGAGGAGGGCCCGGGGGGCTGCCAGGGGCGAGTCCAAGGAGACCCGATGGGGTAGAGAAGAAACGATCCCGATTTGGGGCATCCAGGTGGCCGTGGCTGTGACAGGAGACATTTCTGTCTGTGGCTTGACCACAGGGCCTTCCGCTGTGTGTTCCAGAAGGCCGGAGCGGCTGCGGGTCGCCCCACACCCCTGTACAGACGGGAAGCCCGAGAGGCTGGGTGCACCGGGGGTGCAGGGGTGCTGCCCAGGGACAGGCCTGCACTGGCTTCAGGACGCCAGGCCGGGGCCGTCCCTCGCGGCGCTGCCGTAGGAGGTGAGTGAGCCTCTCCCCGCAGACAGCGAGACCCGGCCCCGGCCTGGAGCCGCTGGGGACACGCGGGCACATCTGCTCTTGGAGGAAGAGCATAGCCCGCCGGACGGCTCTCCTGCTGTAGAGCAGTCAGTTCCACGTGGGAAACCACAATTTAAAACGCCCGGCTGCTGAGCACGGAGCCTACTCAAGATTCCCTCTCTCCCTCGCCCTCTGCCCCTCCCCTGCTCCAGCGTGCTCTCTCGCTGTCTCTCCCTCAAGAAAAAAAAAAAAAAAAAGGTTCGCTGCCACATGACAAAGAGCAAACAGTGACGGTCCTGCCCACTGGTGTAGGAAACAAGTGGGGGCTGATCAGAGACCCCAGGTCTGCCGCGGCCCTTCACGGAAGGCTGCACACAGACCGAGAGGCCCACGGGAGCCCACGGTGGGAGGTCACCCCGAGAGTGACGGGGACACCGAGCCGAAAGCTGAGGACGCGGCAGAAATTGCAGGAATAACAACACTTCCCGTGAGGAGCTGAGCTGTGTCCCCAGAGCCACAGCTGAGTCCCTCCCCAAGCCGCAGGGTGACTGTGCTAGGAGGTGGGGCTTGCGGAGGTGACTGGGGTCATGGGGGACACCGGGGGCCCTGGTCCAGGCTGACGGGTGTCCTCACAGGAAGGGGAGAGCAGGACGCAGATTCGCACGGGGGGAGGGGGGTGACCACGTGAGGACACGGGGAGGGGACGCCATCCTCACGCCAGGGAGAGCCTCAGGAGGACCCGCCCTGCCCGCACCTGGGTCTCGGACCCGCAGCCGCCGTGGCCGGAAGGGCCCATATCCGTGGTCTCAGGTGCCGGCCTGTGGCGTCGGTTGTGGCACCGAGCCGACCACACGGGTCCCAGAGAGGCGTCAGCTGCTGGAGTGAATGAGGCATGTAACATGGACAGTTCTGAAGAAATTTTAAAAGAAGATGAAATCACAAAAATGAACAATAATAGATTATCAGAAGCGACCAAGTGTGTCTGGAAAAAGATCGAGTGTAACTTTTAAGGCATGAAGAAGCTCACAGACGGCCATGTGTCTGGGTGTCTGGTTGCAGAGGAAGTGACAAACGTCAGATGGAGGGAAGCCCAAAGACCCGACGGCGTTGGGGGGCGGGGGGCCGCCGGAGATGGACCAGCACGTCCCGGAGGAGAGCCCGGCTCGGGCGAGGCAGGGTGCCAGGGGCCGGGGGGACGCGCGAGGCAGGAGTGGGGGAGGGGCAGCAGACCCGCGGGGAGAAGCATGGACGCCGGGTCCACAGGGAGGGGTCTCATCTGCAGCGGAAATCTGCTCGCTGCCTGTTTCCCATCAACATCGGCAACGAGGGCAACTGCAATCGGGAGGGGGGGTCGACAGCCTTGAGCAAACCGTCAACGTAGAATCGTGTTTCCAACAAAACCGTCCGTCCTTCAGGAGCAAAGACAAAATGCAGACGTTTCCATCACGTGGGCACTTGGAGGGCTCACTACCAAGAGGCTTTCCCCAGAGGAGTTTCTGAAGGATGGACCGCGGGACGGAGGAAACGAAGCTGGAAGGTCTGTAATGCAGGTAAATACGTAGGCGGGTCCAACAGATGGGCGTGTGAAATCCTAGTTATTCTGTAATAAAGTAATAATTGCAACTGTAGCGTCTGATTCGTGGCGTTACGTTTTTAGAAAGCACAGGCCAACAGTCGGACAAAGATGGGAAGGTTGTTAATCTCATCTCCTGTTACTTGCAGGGAAGTTAAATATTGGTTAATCTTAGCTTCTGTTAATAGTTATACATGGTAAAAACTCAGGGGTTCCTTCATCAAAATTAAAAACAGCCTCTGCAAAAAACCGTGTTCAGACAAGCTACCCACGGAGAGAAAATATTTGCAAATCACACCCTTGACAAAGGACTTGTATCCTGTGTATATAAAGAGTTCTCTGAACTCAACAATAAGAAAATGGGCAAAAGATTTGAGCAGAGATTTACCAAAGAAGATTTACAGAGGGCACGTGAGCGTCACTAGCTGCTAGAGAAATGCAAATTGGAACCGTCAGGAGCTCCTGCCGCGAGGCTGCCCGAGTGCGGGGAGCCCAGGCTGTCTGTGCGTCACTGGCTGGATGGCCACCCTGAGAGCCAGCTTGGAAGTTCCTTAAGAAGTTAAATATACTGCCCAACAGTTGCGCTCCTGGGCATTTATCCCAGAGAAGTGGACTCACGTTCACACAGATGCTCAGCGCATCTGTGTGTGTAAGAGTCCCAGACCGGACACAGCCAGGATGTCCTTCCGTGGTAAATGCAAGCCGCCGTGTGTCCACGCCGTGCGGGGCTGCTCAGCGGTGAAGGAGGAGGGGCAGCTGGCGGGCTCCGAGCCCACCGGCCAGTCCTGGGGGTCATGCGCTGCACAAGTCTGTGTACAGAACAATCTCGAAGCCGCCGCCCTGTGGCGATGGGTAGAGGG